CGCTCTTGTTGCCCAGGCTGGAGTGCAATGGCGCGATCTCGGCTCACCGCAACCTCCGCCTCCTGGGTTCAGGCAATTCTCCTGCCTCAGCCTCCTGAGTAGCTGGGATTACAGGCACGCGCCACCATGCCCAGCTAATTTTTTGTAGTTTTAGTAGAGACGGGGTTTCACCGTGTTGACCAGGATGGTCTCGATCTCTTGACCTCGTGATCCACCCGCCTCGGCTTCCCAAAGTGCTGGGATTACAGGCTTGAGCCACCGCGCCCGGCCCTTGAGAGGGTTTTTGAATTGCTTTTGCTGTGGCATAGATGGAAGCTGTAAGTTGTAATGTTGTATACCAAAGAGTTTACCCCAAACCCTAGAGCTCTCTTATTTGAATATTTTTCTAGAATTAAATGGATTCAGAAATAAAAATTGTCATGTCCTTACATCTTTTGTGCTCCAATGGGAATGCTTACTGGTAGAAAAGGAGAAGGCTATGAAGAACACTTGTTTTTCTAGGAAACTGGATGATCTTCATGGAGGAAAGGTTCACATTTTATCATTGCTGAAATATGGAGCATTTTGTTTTCTGGGATTTTGTGTAATTGTTTTCTTGTATATATACAATTTTTATGTGGTTGTCACTAGTTTACACATAAATTATTTCCAGTTTGACACATTAACATATATCACATGGACCATATGCTTGCATGGTACGTCCATTGCTTAATTATTCCAGTTGTATTCACATTCTAGTTTTCTGCTTACTTAGGATCTGACTTTCCATTAGACCTTCAGTTCCTCAGAGGCAGAGACCATGATTGTATTGTTCTTTATGATGTCCCTAGCATTCTTAGTATGTGGGGTCATTGCAGAAGAAGAATTAAATTTATGCTATTAAAGTTAGCTCTCTGTATCCATGGATTCCACATCTGTAGAATTCAACCAACCTTGAATTGCAAATAGTAAAAATTGCATTTGTACTGAACATGTACAGAGTATTTTTTGTTAGTATTCCCCAAGCAATGCAGCATAAAAACTATTTACTAAGCATTGCCATTGTATTAGGTATTATAAGTAAGAGGAGATTGTTTAAAGTATATGGGAGGATGTGTGTAGGTTATATGCAAATACTGTGCCATTTTCTATCAGGGACTTGAGCATCTGTGGATTTTGGTAACTGCAGGAGGTCCTGGAACCAGTCCCCCACGGATACTGAGAGATAACTGTATTTTGTTCACATTAGCATACAGTAGTGCTTTTTTCCAAGGCCCCTTAGATTTTATCAGTAGCTCATTAACCATAAATTGTTCTCATAAGGCAGCTTAGCAACTTAAACTGATAAGTAAAATCACCCATTCAGTTCATGAAAATAGAGAAACTTCTATTAGGATTTTCAGTGTATGTGTAAATGCTTTAATTGAAAGGTTTTTTTTTTTGCAATTAAAAATATTTTGCATATTAGAAATCGCTGTGCTGAGTAGTTTAAAGCTTGCTGTAGCTTGTATGCTGAACAATGTTTTGGCCACTTAAAATGATTGTTCCAACATTCAGAGCCATTTCAGTTTCCTCTGACAATCAGCTTCCATAATAAAGAATGACACAAACTCATTTCATGCTAGCACTGGCTAGCACCAAGATGCTAGGCAGTGCTGAAGGATTGCTTACTCTCTTCCCACCTCATTTCCTTAGAAAGCTCTAAGGTCAATAGAAGCCAGGTCTAGAGGTAAAATATCCTATTGGTGGCATTTAAAAGCCAGTACATACTGCAATTTAAACTAGACCAAGCAAATACATTCTTGTATTTGTGTCAAATATGTTCTGGTTATTTGAGGTCTGTATGGAAGCCATGTGCTTACAGATCAACCTGAAATTTCTAGTATTGTTTAATATTGAGACCATTATTTCACCAAAACCAATTTTCCAGTACCATTTCTCCATTTCTCTCCATTTCCTGTTTTTTTTTTTTTTCCTCATTAAACTTTTTTAATGGGTCTCAAAATTCTGTGACAAAGTTTTGGTCAAGTTCATTTCCTGTTGTTTTAAAAAATTCCATAAGCATGTTCAAATATATTTTTGCTAGATCAGTAAAATAAACTGTTCCCCACCCTTCCTTAATATTTGTTCCCAAGGGAAAGTGACATAAAAATAAATATGCTCTTAGAGGAATTAAAAGATTAGTTGCTACATTACTCCTTCAGCCTTCCAGTTCTAAATGTAGATTTCTAAAATTGGAAGGCCTGTGTTTGTACTCCTGACTGAATTTGCTTTCAGAGTATAAAGTAAAGTAACCTTTTCTTCCTCATGCCACAAATTCTCTGAGGGACAGTGTCAATAGCTAGGACAAGCCATCCGAGGGAATGGGATATTGATCTGTAGGACTAATGGACGTAGGATAAGTGCAAGAAGGGATGCAGGAAGTATTTTCAAGTGCCAGGGAAAATATGAAGATACCCAAATGGGTTGGCATATTATCTTTAAGGACGTTACACTTCTGCTTACATTTTTGCATTTCTCTTTTCTTTCCTCGTACCCTTATTGTATCTCTATACAGTAAAAAAAAAAAAAAAAAAAAGTCATTGATTCACCTAATAATAACACATAAAGAGGATAATTCAGGCTGAAGCACATTAATACCGTTTTTCAGAAAGTATTTCCTAAATAAAATATGGAAGGCTTGCAAAAAAAAGTACTATCTTAGTGAGCTACTGCAGAAGTAACTATTTAAATATGACTGACATTCTAATTACAGCTCATCATTTTTATAATTATCAAGCCCTGGAAGGACCTGTCATCTTAGCAATTTGTTTGGTCTAGTTCGAATTGCTGTATGTGCTGGAAAGTTCTAAGAAGGCTCTTTTTCTTCTATAAATTCCGCTCCATTGAGAATTTCCCTAATCTGAACGTGTTTCTCAAGACATGATTAGAACATTATAATTTTACTTTTCCAAAAGCATTTTTTAGGACTGAAGCCTTTCTACATTTAATTTTAGAAATGTATCTTGGATTTTGTTAATACAGGTTTGCTAAAAGCCCACAAGATGATTATTTGATTTTTAAAAATTGGGGTAAAAGATATATAGTGTAAAATTTACCGTTTTAACAGTTTTTAAGTTTACATTTTAGTGGCATTAGGTACATTCACATTGTTGTACAACCATCACCACCATCCATCTCTAGACTACTTTTTAAAAAAATAATTTCAACTTTTATTTTAGATTCAGGGGAACATATGGTAGATTTGTTACATAGGTATAGCATGTGATGCTGAGCTTTGGAGTACAAATGATTCCATCACCCAGGTAGTGAGCATAGTATCTAATAGTACCCCTCCCTCCCTGTGTTCCTCTCCCTCCCTGCCCCTCTAGTCGTCTCCAGTGTCTATTGTTCCCATCTTTATATCCATGTGTACCCCATATTTAGCTCCCAGTTCTAAGTGTGGTATTTGGTTTTCTGTTCCTGTGTTAATTCACTTAGGATAATGGCTTCCAGCTGCATCCACGATTTTGTTCTTTTTAATGGCTGTGTAGTATTCCATAGTGTATATGTACCACATTTTCTTTTTCCAACCTGCTGTTTCTGGGCACCTAGGTTGATTCCATGTCTTTGCTATTGTGAATAGTGCTGTGATGAATGTCCAAGGGCATGTGTTTTTTTTGATAGAACAATTTATTTTCCTTTGGATGTATAACCAGTCTTGGGATTCCTGGGTTGACTGGTAGTTGTG